AGCGCTAACTCTACCATATTATCTCTACACAAAACTGTTAAATATATGTTAAAAGCCCAGATATCTGGGACATAATTGAACATATCCATGTCTCTCAATAGAATGTCGATAAGAGTGAAGTTCTTGATCGTGCACAAACCCGAAATGAAGCGAGAGTAGGTGAAGGAGTTGAGAGAGAACCCCTGAGGAAGCATTTGGAAGTAGTACTGCTCAGCCAAATCAAAGCGCGAGTGCTTGACGAGTACCCCGATGAATCGGTTGTAATCAAGGCTGAATACGCGGCAATCTGATTGGGACATTTCGTCGAACACCTGGGTTGCCTGGTCGATGAGGCCAGATTTCACAAGCCTTGAGATGCGGGCACGGTAAACGAGGCGGTGTGCGCTCAGTGCCCGATACATATCAAGGAGAATGCATATCAAGCGGAGCGGCGGTGGAAGCTATTGCTGATGCCGAGGAATGCAGAACCATGACATGAGTAAACAGGAGCTTAGACTGAATGGGGGTGGAGGCGGAGTTAATGACTGTATGAGCGAGGAAGATGGTCTTATGGGCCCAAGCTATATTGGGCTGTAAATTTTGGGCTAAATAGGGGGGAAATGACAAGAGAAAATCTTTTAAGTTCTAAACTTGAAGAAAATTGATAAGGATTATAGAACACCGAAGCCTAAGGAAAATTTAGGGACAGGTAAAGCGTTGGACTTCTCTTTCCATCTGAGAGTTGGCAAATGGGTAAGTCCAAACTGGGTCTGTCTAGGACCGGCCCAGGTCGAGCATGGAACCGCTCCCATGCAGTGGACCTTGGTTTTATCATAAATTTCATGATATTTTGATTTCTACAAGGTTGTGTTTGAGAATATATATTTATATTTAAAAAGTGTATTTTGAATATATGTATTTAAAAAATATATATTTTAAAATGAATTGTCTGGATTGAATAAAAAAATAATTTTTAAATACATGTAATTTTAAATATATTGTTTGAATATTTTAAAATACTATGCATTTAAAATTGAATTTTTCCTATTAAATTAAATCTCCTTTTAATCATTATTTAAATTTAATAAGACCGAAATTAACAATTTTAATCTTCCAAGACATTATATAAATTACCTCAAAACAAACAAATTGGATGTATATGTATATACAAGAACAATGACCTCCACTAATCAATTTGTTTTCATGTTCTCCATTTTTTGTTCATTTTTTTTATTATCATACAATATTCAATTTTTGTAAAGATAGATTTATCATAAAAGAATTTCACTATGAAAAATAAAAGAAACAAAGTAGCATTTATGATTATAAAAAATAACCATTTAAATATTACATAGTTTGGCTGATTTGTCATTAGCGGTGGGAGTGAAACGGAGGCCTCTACCCCAAAAACCTTTATTTTATGGCCATTTTCCACCGGCATGGCTTAGGCTACACAAAGGTTGTGGTTTGAGTTGCTTTTTTACTTTTTTTTTTTTTTTTACATGGTATTTTATAAAAAAATATTAATTTATTATAATTAAATTAATTTTAATTAATATTTTCTATAATTTAGTGATTATATTAATATATAAAATTTTTTAAAAAATAATTATCAAATAATAATAATTTTTCTCATAATAAAATATTTAAAAAGTCACAATTATTATATTTCACAACAATCCCAAACACAATCAAAATAATTATTAGTAGTAGTTGATTAAACTAGCATGAAATTAACTCATAAATTAATAGTTTTAAACACTATAATATAAAAAATTATAAATTAATAACATTAGTTAAATCAAAGGACCTACTATATTATTTGTGTGATCTCAAAAAAAAAAAGCTTTGTAGCAATAACCAAGCCCATTTTCCTCATATGGACTATTTGTCTTTTCTAAGCTCAATATCATAGTCCAGCCCAAACAAAAGCTTGACCCCCCTTAGCCCGAAATTTCCAACGAGCAGGTAAAATCCTCTACATATTGTGCCGTACTGAAATCTCTTCCTAAGTCTACAGTAATCCCAGGTCATGCTAGCTGAACTGAATCAATTAAATTTTTTGAGTCCTCCATCTCTGTTCTGGGTAGTAACTTACCTCGCTGTTATGGATATCTCATGTTTGTTTAGAAAAAGTTATACTTGGCCCTGCCTTAGAGAAAGAGTACCTACTTTTCTAGATTCACTACAAGAAAATCCACTTTTAGTGACAAAAATTTGTGATGAATTTTGAAATCATCATTATAATTAATCACAATTGTAATAAATTTAAAAAATTAGTCATATATGCACACATATTTAATGATGATGAAAAAAATTCATCATAAAAAATATATTTTGTCACCGAAAAATGTTCATAGAGATAAAATAAGTTTTTGTCAATAAAAATTGTCACTATAATTTATTATAA